GACAAGGAGAGAATGACTAATAGTATTGGGATGCCTTAATCTTTTAATGATCTGTGGATATTTGTCAGAACAGTAATTTCTTCTGCTATACCCTTTGAGACAGATTATGTGCATACAATGGAACCTGTGAAATGAGTCACTTAGGTAAGTCCTCTGAGTTTTTCATGAAGATGCATATTTTTTTTTCCTAAATAAAAAGGTGTAGGAAAAGAGTCTGAACTAGCCTCCTTCCCCAACCAGAGGCAGGAACCAAGTGCTGTGTATATACATGCAGCTTATTTGTCAATGTCAATGAACAAAGGTAGATCTAACAATAAAGACTATGTGAATTTTACCTGGTGCTATCCTAAGGCTAAACTGTGCCTATACCGGATGCACATGGAATTTTGTGGCATTATACAGATAACACAAGACAGACAATTTGAAAAGAAAGTATGGGCTGAGGAGGCCAAAGGAATATGGTAACTAAAAATGCAGCATTTACTGAAACTCACAGAATGAGAATCTTTGAGGTTACTTTTCCATCAAGTGTATACTGAAACAGGTGGTCCAGCTGGTTTTCCTGAAGTGTGGTAACAGAAGACTATTCATGAAGTGTATTGGCCTTAAAAACACTATTAGTGTGGGCACTTCAGGCCTTTGCCATATATTCATTTCATGAGATGCACGCAAAGGCAAGGGAGATGAGAACTGAGGAATGAGTCATTTGTTAGTGTTATTACTGTTAGTATAGGTAGTTTGCAGGTAGGAATATTGTTTGCAATCCAGTCATGTGTAGGCGGCTCCATTTTTCAGCTATTAAATTGTTTTCTAAAAGACTAAATATTTCATAATAGTATTTTAACCCATAAGCAGATGATTTTAGCCATTGACCCATTTAGTCATAACTAAACAGGACTACAAAGACTCAGCAAACTGCAGGTCCAGAGTTTGTCAATCTCCTCTAGGAAGGAACCCACCATGTAGGCTACCCTCTTCCAGCAAGTACAGGGTCCATGTTCGAGAGAGGAACAACTTGACAAAAGCTGTCAAGACTCAAGAGGACCCAAATGCAGCAAACATGACCACATGGTGGTGGGTGAGTCACCCTTGGAGCTGTTGTGTTCAGTGAGAACAGGATTGATTCTGCAATATGTCCAAAGCTGAAAACTATGCTCAATTTTGTGCATGATTACATCACTTGAGGAGCCTGCTCTCCTGTCCCTTCTTTCACTGTTTGGTTTAAACTGTACATTAAACTGCCTTCCCTCCAGACATGCAGCCCAGGTATTAATGCCTAGGTTCAAATTTGTCATTAAATTTTATCATTCTAGGCAGAGTTAAGAAGGGGAAAAATGTTTACTCTGCAGTTGCATTCAAATGCAGACCACAGTGACAGAGCTTAGAGCACAGCCTCTTCCCTGCATCTCTTGTCTTCTGCAGCTCTTCCGCAGTCATCGCTGTTGTCTTTGTGCATTCCTGGAGCTTTTCAGAAAGGTTTGTGCATGCATTTATTTGAATTATGTTAAATTCTGTTTTCTGATGTTGTCAGGCACTAAATTTACTAAGTAACTAAATGATTAATTTTTGTGGTGAAGCGTATTGCAATTTGGAGTGGAATTTGAATTCCCATAGTTTATGAATTTGCTTTCATCATATAGGTTTAAAATATGTAGTGACTATACTCACTATAGTAATAATATACTCACCTCAAGATGCAGGTGATTCCCATGTATACTGTGAATGCGCACGAGCAGGTATTCTGTGGCTACTTTGTTCTCTGCCTGGGAGACCTGGAAAATCAGCACTGGTGGATCAAGTCGTCAAAGAATGCTACTTCCATATCCAATTCTTTCATAAATGCTGTTGCTGTTTGATCTACAGTAAGTTAAATCACTCTTGTTGTTGTTATATGTACAGAAATGGTTTGGAGTTAATCAGGATAGCAAAATATTGTTCAACTTGTGTCTTTCTGACAGCTTGGTTAGCCTTCCCCCTCTGACCTAGGTTTTTAAGAAAGACAAAAACTTCAAAGCTGTTCATGGAGGTGGCAGGACATTTGCCCATCAAGGGATATGTGGATAAATAAATACTTTCAAAGGCATTTTGTAGTAGATAGTTGGAAATCCTTCCAGGGAAAGCCAGAGTCTTTCATGCCAGCTGTCTGTACCCTTGTCTAGGTGGCAGCACGGCCTCTCCATCAGCAGCCTCTTACCTGGGTTTAGCCTAAGTGGCAGGAACGGCCCGGGGGCTGCTGTGCCCTGAGTCGTGGCTGGTTCATTCAGCAGAGCTTTGAGCGCACACAGCAGCTCTTCATGAGCTCCCTCCTGCTCACACCAGTGTCTCCCTCGCTGGCAAGGACGGCACCAGGGGACAGGGTGGTGGCCACGCAAGGGCAGTGCCTCCCCCTCGGGTCCTGCTGAGCCCCAGGGGCTCGGTGCATGCCAGGACACATACGGCGCGCTGAGCAAGCAGTCGGCAAGAGCTTTGGACGCTCTCAAGGTGCTTCCTAAGCACATAAAACTTCCCCGGCTCGACCTGCTGAGTGTCAGCCAGCTCCCGTGGTCACCCAGCGCTCACCTGCGCAGTCTCAGCTGCGTTTGGCAGGTCCAGCTGTCAAAACATCTTGCTGGCACCACAGCCAGATGCAGAATGGTATAAGAAAATACGTTGCTGCATGGCTGGCTTAGTGCCAAATGTCTCGAATAAACAGGTTCTGATTTGCTGCCGTAGAAGGACTTAACTGCTGGTGACCCTTTGCATGACACAGCTGTGGGATCTAATGCTTGCTTGAACCACGAGGAGATTGAACCTGGTGACTGGAGCATGAGAGGGATCCAAAGCTACTTTTCTGTTGCATTGGCACCTCACACCCATGCTAGGCAGGCAAACGCTGGTCTTTGTTCCAAGACATTCAGTTCCCATCTAGCTGACAGAAATGAATAAGTAAGGAAGGAAAATACTTGGCAATAGAGAAATGAGCTGTAATTTTGACTTGTGTTGCAGAGTGGCGTTCTGCAGACCATGTGGGAAAAGTAACTCATGACACAGAGTTTTGCAGGAATATTTTGGCATGGAGTTGGCTGGATGAGCAGCATGTTGGAACATGAAACTCTTAGTCAGAGAAAAGGACTGATAGGTTGTTAAAGGCAGAGTCACTATCAGACTAAAAGTGATGTCTATAAAACCTGCTAGAGTAAGGCTAAATCACAGAGGGCCTCTTAGAAGCAACTGTGAATTTGTATCTAGTAGCAAAGAATGGAGCGGATAGAGGAATATGGCTTGGGACACCGCAGTAGGGGAGAAAGGGAGGATAATGAGCAAGGAAAACGATTGGTACTACTAATTTCAGTGGATTTTTAGTATTTTCAGCACTAAAGCCCACAAGATAATGTGGCTGAGAGCGGTACAGAAGCACAGCTAGCTGAAGAAGTGCAAGATTGCAGGGCAGGCTGCAGTGGGACTTCAGATAACCATGTTTAAGGGGGTATTCAGAACACAGGCCTGGGCCCACAGCAGAGCAGTTGCACCAGCTCCATTGAAGGTGAGCAGAAGCTTTAAGGAAAAGGGAGATGGAGGGTTTAGGAAGAGTTTAGAGCTGGTGGCTTGATGCTTGTGAGGAAGCATTTTCAGTTTCGCTTACCCGTGGTGTTGGAAACTTGGAAGTTCCACTTTAGGTGGTATTGAGTCATAACAACAATAGTTACAAATCTGCTTTTAACTCCCTATAAACAGCAAGCTGAGATGCCAGGAGTTGAGCACATGTGCCCCAGAATCTCAGTGGACATTCGAAGTGTTTGACCCCAGATGCCACCACCACGCTACTTCTGAAGGCACCAGAGGTGACAAAAATAGTACAACTTCCGTGTACTTCGCTTCCTACGCCTGACAACCCGTTGTGTGCGAGCAGCCAGG